TTGGAAAATCTGTTCTTCTAATGAATAGACGCGACAAATCTAATGGTATCAGCTGTTAATATTCAACCTACACTAACTATAAAAAGATGTTTGATTAACAAGACGAATTACTTACCGATATTTCCACGTATCTTACAAGATCTTTCTGATACCTTAGTTTGACCTTTTTCGGTTTAGAGTGTCTATTCAAATCTCGAGAGTTAAGATCTTGTCGAGGGATCGTAGAAACAACTGACCCATGGGAATCTCTCTCGATCCCTCTTGGAATTAGTCCGTGCACTCCATGCATTAATAATATACATAAAAAACTTCGTGTTCCGAAAAGTTCAAGAATAAATGCTTTATCTGCTATATCGAAATATAACGCGTTCTGTTATATTAAAAAAATACAAAAGGGGTAAAATTTTATTATTTATTTATGTAATTTATATAATACATTAGTTATTAATCAAATAATTTGATATCACGTTTCCTTCCACTCTTATGTATCAAGTTAATTGACGGAATATTTGGGTGACCAGTTCTTTGATACGATAGAATTTAACTTATAATAATTCTTCGAGTAATAACTTGTCATACAGAGTTCTTTTTGGTAGAATATTTGTTCTTAAAAATTCACCATTTCGGTCGATGAAAATGTTCCCATTATCATCAAAGTGTCCAAATAATTGTCATCAATAAATTCCAAAAAGAAATCTATGTTTAAGAATTTCTTTTGTAGTAGTGTAAATTACGCCACCGCCATTGAACAAGTTGGTAGAAAGTTCCGAGTTCCGGCATCATTTTCGGTATGGATTATCTAGAGCCTTGAGAACGTGAGATACTTTAACCGGGAAATTTATTGTAATAAATTTTTTAACTGCTTTTGTCGGTTAATTAGCCTCTAACGAACACGGAATGATTTAGAGGACAACAAGGTGCTTCAGTTAATTTTCGCGTCTTGGGAACTAAATTCTGGACTGAAATAAGTGTAAAGTGTAAGAAATATAAACGTGAAAATGAGCGTGAACGTAAGAAGCAGGAATCCATTTCTATGTTATTAAGAGAAAGCACATAACCGGTTCTTCCTCTAGAATCAGTGAACCTTCAACATTCCGAGGTTTCCTAACTTCCAATAAAGGAACCAATTCTTCACTTACTTGTTTGCATATTCCGTCTGTTATTTAAAACGAAAACGCGTAAATGTGAAGAAAATTTGCATCTCGATTTTTTATATTCAAATTAAGGATCAGATTGTCACACCACACCACAAACGTCATAGATAAGGTA